TCCACGATACGAACAAAAACTCACCATACGACGTTACATTAGTTCGCATTTTTCATTTGTTTTTCTTACTACAGTTATTTTTTTAAATGTATTACTTGGCTTTAATTTGAGTATGTTTTTCGCGTTGGAACGAATTATTTGGTTTTACACGTAATCGTATGGGAAAAGATGATCCACCTTACGACATTTTCATGATACGATCTCAGTTTCGGAACGAATTAATTTCGTATCCTGAGGTACCACTGTATATGCTTTTTGAAAAAAACACATTATGTTTAGAAAAGAGTTTATTAATTTATTAATAAATTTAAAAATAATAATTTTATATTTAATCTATTTCTTAATACTTTGACTATTTGGAGTTGATATAAAACACTATTATGTTTTTGTTTAGAAGGACATATTTTCAGTATATAGTTAAATTCAATTTTCTTTGTTATGAAAGAAACTTTCATATATATTTATAATAATAGTTGGCTGAAATATATTTTTTACAAAAGTAAATTAACAAAATAAACTTATCACTACACAATAATAAATTTTGAAGTTTTGTTAAACAAAATGTTTTGAGTAAATATTTTTCTTAATCACTAATTATTTAAATTCAATGGATAATGAGACAAAGTAAATTAATATCCTATTATTCAGTAGTTATCTAACTTCAATAAAGGAATTCTTTTACACAAATACTATAATGTGCTTCTTGAAAATACTACAATATGCATACTATTGTAAATAAACTGAAATGTAGAGGCTGATCTTGTGTCTAATGATAATGTAATAAGTCTAGAAATAAAAAGGCCATCATAAAAGCTCACCAACAACTCTTTTACAAAAATAAATTCATAATCATTCATAAATTAAATGTACTTTTACCTTGTTATGTCAATTTTTGATTTTTACATTATTTGCACAATTAATCAACAGATATATGTACATAGATAATAAATTTCTTACCTTTTCTAAACATTTTTGTAAATTTACAATTTCAATCTTTAATTCTTCAACAAATGTACTTTCTTTTTGCAATTTCTCTCTTAACTGATCCAAAGTTTTCTGTGTGCCTTCATTATATAAAATCTTTAAAGATTAAATAAATTAAAATTATTATTAATAAATGTTAAATTTCATAACTATTTTTCAACTATTAATGACAGAAGTTTTTAATTCTAAAAATTTGCTTCATATCATTAATTTTGTAATATACAAAATTATTACTTTAGGTACAAGTTATTTACTCTTACAAATATTGCAAGGCATCAAAGTATCTTCATAAGTTTTTTGTTAACAATTTCCATAAATTTTTACTATTATCTTGAAGGAAAAATCATACAGAAATTTTAACACTTTGATTTCATACACCTTAAAAAAACTAAACTTCAATCAGATTTCAATTAAAAAGATCAATTCATTTTAATTGTAATTTTAATTCAACTTCAGTTCAAATTATATTTTAAATAATCCAGAGCTAGGAAAATCTAAAAATGTGCATCTTTTTCCAATTAAAAAATACTTTTTTAACATTTAAGAAACTAGATAATTTTTTTATTTTTTATTTTTAGATAGTTGTTTGCAATCTTTCTACAATATTTATGACAATATTTTTAAAAATAAATTTAATATGACATAAATATGTTTTTATTTATTTATTTTATTGTAAATAATTCTCTCTATTGATAAAATATAATACAATAAATATATCAGATATTCTTCATCATTTATATGTCAACTGATCATTTCTCTTAATTAAATTCTTTCTTTGCTAAATGATTTAAAATAAACATACATGCTTACTTGTGTAGCAAACTTTCTAACATAAGTAAATTTAAATTATTTGAAAAGAATGTAACTATCAATAGAAAAATATTCAATTCATCTTTAGTTTAAAAAGAATGGATAATTTAATATTTTTAATTAATTGGATAACATTCTTAAATATTTATCATACTTTTATATAATTTAAATTTTAAAATACAATGTTCCTGAAAACCTTTCACCTTTACTTATTATACTTAATAGCCATTATTTTAAATATGTTATATATTAATCATGATAATTAATTAAATATTTTCATTATTTAATATTCAAAGGTTTATTAAATTAAATTAATTAATTTGTAAAATTATTGCCATTATATTACATAATTTTACCAATAAATGAAAACCATTTTACATTAAAATGGTAGAATTTCTTAGATGCAATAAAAATATGGTAAAGTGATTCTTATTGTGATGCTTGATATAATAAGCAATTGAATTGTTTGAGCATCACAATCTCTTTTATTAATTACATAAGCATACAAATTGAATGCAAGATTCATTTATTATATAAGAATTTGTATATAAGATTCAGAGTAATAGTTTGTGTTATTGTGTAAATTTTTATTTGTAATTGACAGTAATAATATAAGCAAAAGAATAAAACTTAATCTAATTAAGCTTAACACAATAAAAAAAAAGTTCATCAGCATTATAAATAATTTAAATAAATATAAAAACTTTTATTAACTTACTTCAGAATTAAGTTTTTCTTCTTTCTCAGATAATTTACAATTTAACTCAGAAAGATTTTCTTTCATACTGGACAAAGCATTCTCAGAATTTTCTAACTCCTGTAGTAGAAATATGTCATTTTAAAACAAATTTGATAATGAAAACACAAATATTGGCTATATTCTAAGGCAATAGAAATAAGAATCAAAATTTTTGCTCTGATTCAAGTCAATAAAATTTTTCAATTGCATATGTAAAAACAGAAGTATAGCCCAGATGATATTTTCAATGCAGATGAATTAGGCTTATTTTTAAAATGTCTGCCAGACAAAACACTATGATTCATGTCAGGAATGTAATAAAAGTGAAGAATGTGTAACTCTTCTTTTGGAAGGAAACATGACAAGTAACAAAAAATTACTATCATTATTAATTAAAAAAATCTTTAAAGCCTTGATGTTTCTGCAATGCCAAGACTTTACTATATAATACAGTGGTACCTTCACTTACAAGTTTAATTCATTCTGTGATGGAACTAATAACTCAAATTACTCATATGCAAAATCAATTTTTCCCATTGAAATGAATTGAAATGCCATTAATCTGTTCTGGATCCCCAAAACACCGCAAATTTTTAAGTTACATGTTTTTAAATAAGAAAAATGTATTTATAAAAAATGAATATTGTATAAAAACACAATAGAATGTACTGCAATAAACTGGTTGTGTGGATGTTGCAGTGTTTGCTGCGTAGATAAAGAAAGAAAAGATGGAAAATTCCAACAAATGAGAGACAGTTGCATTGCACATAACATGGAAGTGAAGTAATGCCTACATCACTTGATCTCGTGTTTTTCTATAAGCCAGCCTGTCAGACATTGGAAGAGTAACAAAAATGATAAAATTATGGCAGTTTTTATCTTCTTTTTCTCGATCTATGGTTTGCTGTGCCAATTAATGGTGGGGTATCTGAAGCTTGCTTATAACCTGAATTTTAGCTCTCAACTCAAAGCAAAACTTTGGCCTAAAGACAGCTTGCATCTTGAAAAACTTGTAAGTTGGGACACTCGTTTGCTCTAAACAGTGGTACCTTGACTTATAAGGAAGCATGGATGACATCAGACTTTTTTCTAACTGGCTGAAAAAGTTAGATATCTCTATGGTTATCAAAAACAAAACTGTTTTGTTGGCAATTTCATTGAAAATTCAATAATTCCCACTATGAAAGCTATAATAGTCCAATTCACACCACCGAATACAACTTCTGAATTGACCTTTAGCATGGGATCATTCAAAACATTCAATTACAATACAGAAAACTTGTTATAAGAAAGATATTGCATGCTATTGAAGATTAATGATGTGAGTTTGGCGTGAACCTGTTAGGTAATGAATTCAGATAATTAACAAAGTTTGAAATGAAATTCATTAAATCACTATTGCAAATTGCTTTACAAAAGCAAGTTTTAGTCAAAAATTTGTTGACACATCAAATAAATTGGAATTTCCATTTGAATCCATTGACTATATAAAAGAAAATCAGGCCAATCTTACTATAGCAACAAGTGATAAAAAAACTATCATTCAAAGATTTTGTCAATGACCTGGCTATCTGCTGACACTCATCTGAAAATGACATTATTGCCAAAGTAAAGAAATAAGTGCAAGAAACAAATAATGAAGATGAGATAGAAAGAAATTTTGTCAAGGTCAAATATTCTGCTTCACTTACATGTAGGAAAATCAATAAAGCTCTCAAACTTTTAAGGAGCTTTCTAAAAGCTACATGATTCTTAAAATAAAATTCTTTCAAAATGGTCAATCATATCAAAAACATTATTGAGTGGGAAGCAAATGAATCATCGATAACAAATTCATGTAACAAAATTTTCTTACAAATAGTGTCAATGTTTTGTTATTCTGTGCACACATCTATCTAAAATATAATAAAATATAATGTATTTAAGTCTGACTATATCGTTTGTATTGTGATATTTACAATCTCCCAAAAACAATGGTATTTTCCAATATTAATCAAATTAATTTTTTATTTTTTTAGAATTTTGTATTATGATTTATTACGTAAAATCCTTAATATGCAATTTTATAATTAATCATCATAAAATGAAATATTTAAATCAAACTAAATAAATACCTTATTTTTTTGTTTTAAACTTTCTTTCAAATTATCACATTCATTTTGTAAATCTTTTATTGTTTTTATTTGTGAATCTTCTAATTTTTTCCAAGAAATAGCAAGATTCTCCATTACCTAAATTATTATAAAATTTAAAAATTAGTCAAAATACCAATTAAAACATTAATTATTCATTCAAAAAAAGAAAAAAATAGTTTTAAATTATCAATATTTAGAAAACTATAAAAATAGTCTAATTAATTTAAAATACAGATACCTGACGGAGTTCTTTTATTACAAGACTTTTCTTCTCATTAACAGCAGAAACCAAAGCTAACTCCTGTTCATTACTTAAAAGCTGAAAATATTCAAAATTAATATTCAAGAATGACAAATGATCTTAATCCAAAAACAAATTACGACAATTAAATAATATTAGTCAAATACAATACAAATATCCTGTAGTTCAATGGAAAAACAATTAATTAAAAAAAATTTGTTAGGTACTGTACATTTCTAAAGCAGTTTATTTTTAAATCAGATATATATTTTCATCCAAAACAGTTAAAATAATACAATCTCTCCACATACCGGTGTTTAAATAAAATAAAATATTCCTCAAACCTTTAGCCGGAGTGCTTCTATTTTTAGAATTGCGAACGTTTTCTTCGCCCCTCCTGGGCTCTTCTTTGGGCTATAACGAATGGGCCTTTAATATTCAAATAAACATTCAATATGAATCTCTTCTGAATTCTATCATTTGAAATCGTTCCGAATTTGAAACGTTCGCAATTCTAAAAATAGAAGCACTCCGGCTAAAGGTTTGAGGAGTATTTATTTCAGTTAAAATAAAGTTTTGTAACCTATTAACCCCCATAAGCTTGATGAATATTAAATTAAAGAGAGCTGAGTGACTGAATGGTTGGCACTCAGCTCTCTTAAAGTTTACAATGTTGAATTTTTATTCTATTAAATGGTTAACTGAGTTTTCTATTTTAATATTATGATTTTATCTTTATATAATTAACAAATATAATAAAGGAAAAATTTTATTCTTAATTCTTAAAAATATGTGATAAATTTTATAGATATTAATAACTGATAGTTATTAAAATAGAAAAAAATTTCCTTCTGTTATTAATTATATTTTAATTCATAATACAATATAAAGTTTTTTACATAATAATTTATGAGTTATTACAACTTTATTAGTCATTGCAACTAAAAAAATACCATATAGATGAAACAAATTATTATATATATAATGGGTGCATTGTCTGGTGATGTTACTTAAAGCAGCTTTATTAAAAAACAGTTTAGTAACTTTTACCTTTAAGTTAGCCACTGCAGTGCTAATGAGAGAGGTTTGGAAGCACTGAAGACAGAATTTAAAATGGTTTTCATTAAATGGTCCTGTATTTGTAAAGTTTTTTAAGTACTTACATAGTATTTACTTAAGTACTTAAGTAAGTACTATTTTTTATGGAATTAATCCTGAAGAATAAATTGTTATCAAATCTTAAGTCAGTGAGTTATATTGTAGATTGTTACAGTATTACTGGAAATGTAACTAATGCAATGTTTATCAAACTGGTCCAAGGTCTCTTCAGATTCAAAAGAAAGGTGAATGATGTGTTAAAAAAATATGACATCACTGACAGCTTTATCATGTGATTCCTTCAAAGTTCAGCCAAAAGAGCAAAGTCTTCTGCAAGAAGAAAGTTCTCAGGAAATACAACAGAGATGTCACATGGCTGAGGTGAGTGATGTTGAACTGGGATCACATGACACATTTTGTATGTTTCTGCCATCCAATGTGAAACTCTGCAATGAAAATAAGCTTAAGCAATGGAAGCCCAAATTCTGAAAAGTTAGTAAGTAGTCCTATGATTTTTTTTGTTTATAGTGTTTTTTTGTATGGATTGACAACAAAAAATTCTGTTTTGAAGTGTCTATCAAATACGTCTTTAAAAAAAATTAAAAGAAAACATCTACTAGTAAGTTTCTATAGTTTTACCAAAAATAACAGTATGCTGTTTACGAACAGCAAAATAGCTATAGAGCTGTTTCGTTTGAAAATGAAAACCATTTAAGGCAGACTTCAGCAGCTTAACTAAAGCAGCTTTATTGCATTGCACATAACATGGAAGTGAAGTAATGCCTACATCACTTGATCTCGTGTTTTTCTATAAGCCAGCCTGTCAGACATTGGAAGAGTAACAAAAATGATAAAATTATGGCAGTTTTTATCTTCTTTTTCTCGATCTATGGTTTGCTGTGCCAATTAATGGTGGGGTATCTGAAGCTTGCTTATAACCTGAATTTTAGCTCTCAACTCAAAGCAAAACTTTGGCCTAAAGACAGCTTGCATCTTGAAAAACTTGTAAGTTGGGACACTCGTTTGCTCTAAACAGTGGTACCTTGACTTATAAGGAAGCATGGATGACATCAGACTTTTTTCTAACTGGCTGAAAAAGTTAGATATCTCTATGGTTATCAAAAACAAAACTGTTTTGTTGGCAATTTCATTGAAAATTCAATAATTCCCACTATGAAAGCTATAATAGTCCAATTCACACCACCGAATACAACTTCTGAATTGACCTTTAGCATGGGATCATTCAAAACATTCAATTACAATACAGAAAACTTGTTATAAGAAAGATATTGCATGCTATTGAAGATTAATGATGTGAGTTTGGCGTGAACCTGTTAGGTAATGAATTCAGATAATTAACAAAGTTTGAAATGAAATTCATTAAATCACTATTGCAAATTGCTTTACAAAAGCAAGTTTTAGTCAAAAATTTGTTGACACATCAAATAAATTGGAATTTCCATTTGAATCCATTGACTATATAAAAGAAAATCAGGCCAATCTTACTATAGCAACAAGTGATAAAAAAACTATCATTCAAAGATTTTGTCAATGACCTGGCTATCTGCTGACACTCATCTGAAAATGACATTATTGCCAAAGTAAAGAAATAAGTGCAAGAAACAAATAATGAAGATGAGATAGAAAGAAATTTTGTCAAGGTCAAATATTCTGCTTCACTTACATGTAGGAAAATCAATAAAGCTCTCAAACTTTTAAGGAGCTTTCTAAAAGCTACATGATTCTTAAAATAAAATTCTTTCAAAATGGTCAATCATATCAAAAACATTATTGAGTGGGAAGCAAATGAATCATCGATAACAAATTCATGTAACAAAATTTTCTTACAAATAGTGTCAATGTTTTGTTATTCTGTGCACACATCTATCTAAAATATAATAAAATATAATGTATTTAAGTCTGACTATATCGTTTGTATTGTGATATTTACAATCTCCCAAAAACAATGGTATTTTCCAATATTAATCAAATTAATTTTTNAAAACGCCGTCTCGGCTTCTGTGTTCCTCTAAACACGGTGGTGTCAATCCTGACTGGGCACTAAGGAGGTGCCGACCCGGAAGGTCACAGTTGAACTTGGCCTACTAAAATTATCAGGAGTTGAAGTCAAGTGTTTTTTTACCAACTCCGCAGCTCTGCTATTAACAGCTTATTTTGTTCTCTCTGTAATAAATATACAGTTTATATTTTAAAGAATGTATTAATCATATGATTCATATAAGGTCTGCTATGCTCATTAATTAAAAAGATTTAATGCATTTTGACTTCTCATTATAAATTTTCAATGGTAAAAAGTATAATGTGCTTTTAAAATTGTCAAAAACATAAAACAAACATTTAAATATATTGAAAAATAATTAGTGATACCTTGGTTTTTGTTGATAATTTGTCTGAAAACAATTGACAAAATCTGAAACTAATGAAAACCAAGGCAATTATTTCCATACAAATCAATATAAATCCAATTAATTCATTCTAGACAGTCCAAAATACATACCAAAAACACATTTTATAGAAAATTAATATAGTGTTAAATACTAAAAGCAATAAAAAATTAATATGAAAACAAACTAATCTAAAGGAAAACAATGGAATTGTTTGGCTAGACGCAGGGTAATGTCTTGTCTTGTAGAAGTTGGACATGAGCTTCTAGCATATATCCTCCCATGGTAAAGTGTGACGTAATTGTCATGTAATAGGGTTCATAATGGTCGTAAATGTATGCGTTCATGATGGTCATATCGTGGGGAATAATGCCTTCCAGGAGGTCTGTTTAAGGGTAACTTGCCCCTACTCAGGCATTGCAGATGTGGAGAAAATCCGGAAAACTCCATGTGACCAGCCCATCCTGGCAAAGCGCGAATGCATGACTGAACTCCCAGTGTTCAGGGAATGGAAATATTGGTCAATGGTGGGCCATCGCAGGGTAATGCTCATGCAACGAGAAATAATGCCACACTGAACCGGAAAATGTGTGGGTTGCCTTTTGTTTTCGCAAAATTAGCAGTGAGGTCACTTGGGCACACTGATGAAATCTGAGGCAATCGACGAAAACTGAGATAAATTTTTCGTGAAAAAAATTGATGAAAACCGAGATATTACTGTATTAGTTTTGTAAAAAAATACAAAATATTGTTCTATAAAAATGAGGTTAAGATTGAGAAATGAAAATACAGTAATACCCCGACTTACGAGATTTTCAAATCTCATCGATTCGTCTTTTGTTTGAGCGCCATACAACCCTTGATTACTCACTCCCCCCACACTATTGTTCAGCTTACATGTTTGGATGTGTCGCGCGGAATCCACACATAGCTACAATTTATTTTGTGTTATTTATTTCTGTGTTTGTTATATCTACGGAGACTCGAGAGACTCTACTATGTCATCCAAACAAAGTAGAACTAATTCTTCTGCATCAAATAACAAAAGAAAAACTTTATCTTTGGAATGTAAAGTTAACATTGGGTATGTTCGTAAAGTTGAACGAGTTAAACGAGAATGACGTCATCGTTATTCCTATTTCGTTAGACTTTTCGAACGATTCGTTACTAACGCGTTTAACTCATTTGACTTTACGAATGTACCCATTATTAAAGACTTCGATACAAAAATGAAAATTTGTGAATTGGCAAAGAAGTTTGGTCTACCGGAATTGTCGGTCAGAACAATTATAAAAGGCAAAGAAAAAATTCTCGAAGCTGTGAAAAATGCTCAATCTTTAAATTCAAGCATCATTTGTAAATGTCACAGTATTATCGCTGAGATGGAAACAATGTTAAAATTATGGCGTAATAATCAAGTAAATTTGAAAAATTGTAAAATAATATAGGCCTAATTTGTTATACATATGTATTATCTAAGATTTTATTAAACATTTTTTCTAAATTATTATTTTCTTTAGTCTTCGGCCCCAATTAAAAATTATTTGTATGTATTTATATGCGAAATTATACCCCAACTTACGCGGTTACCGCTTGGTCCCACCTATCGCATAAGTTCGGAGTATTACTGTATAAAAACAACATTATATACAGTAGTGTCTGAATAGGATATTAGAATATATTTCTGTTTACAGATTTTTATTACACTTATATTTTTAATCTTTATTTTGTCTAAATATCTATTATGGATAAAATGTAGAGAAATATTATGGTCATATTTTTCTATAAATTATGCATCTTTAAGTTTTTCAAAATGAATGAACAAGGTATTTCGAATTAGGTTTCTTTTATATCATTTATTCTTATTTCAATCAAATGACTTTAATTGGAGACAATTATTGTCAATAAAATTTTATATTAATTAAAATAAATAATTAATCATACCTTTTGTTGTAAATCTTGTATTAAATGTTCACAATGCTAAAAATGTTAAAAGGAAAAATTTTAATTAATTGATGATAAAAATTTATATATTAATGAAAAATTTAAAATTAGTTATTAAAATACTAAATTGGGAATAAAATAGACTGTAATATTTATTGATAAGTAATCAGAAATTATAAATTACATAATGAAAAATTTATAAAAAGCCACAATAAAAATATTATTAGATTCTGAAACATTAAAAAATTAAAATATTCCTTATAAATTAAATCTAAAAATTTTAAATTAATTATACAAAACAGCAGGTAACAGATTTGAAGTTTGGTAAATATAATCATACAGAGTACATGATTATATTCTTTCAACCAAATTTTTCCAGCTATACTGACCTTTCTACGAAATATTTCTTTTTCCAAATCAAGTATTTGATTTGTTGATCTATTTCTTGAAGATAAGTTCGAACAATTTAAAGGAGGCACAATACAGTCAATTTTTTCTAATTTACTCATCAGAACCGTATTTTCTAAAAGTGATGACGGCTTAGGTATACATTCGATGCTTAAATTACGTTCAACATTTTCTAGAGGATCACTAACTGGAGGTTTTAATCCAAGTTCACGTAACATCTCTCTAACAGATGCAGAGAAGTCATTATAAAGTGAAAACTCTCGAAACAAACTGCCGCTATCTTCTTTATCTAAAGATAAATCTTTTGTAAAATTAATACTAGGTGAAATTTCTAAACTTCTTTTGGTTTCTACTATTGAATTCAAAGGAACGTTTTCCTTATTAGAATTAGTAAAATCGTCTTCATTTAAGGTACCTTTCGATATTTTTGTACGCATTTGTTGACGATTTATTTCAAAACAGTCTTGACGTCTACCACGTGTAAAATTTGTATGTGGATTTATATTCGATTTTAAATTTGAATGTCTTGACGTTTGCTGTAGTTTTGCTCCACGTGTATTTATTGCATTTCTATCTATTTCCTGATCCGTTTCCTCAGTCTGAAATGATAAATAATTGTTTATGTCCGAAATATTCAAATTTAAATTTCCAAAACATCTCGACGTTGGAGAAATTTCTTGGAGTGGAGACGAATGAGAATAATACATTGTCTACAGTATATAAATTAATTAATATCACCTTAAACAATTTTCTTTCTTAATTTTTTGGGAGAAAATACTCATTTCATTTCTCACACATTCAAAATTTCCTTCCTTCTACGTCACACACTATCACGACATCTAGCGTGAATATTATGTAATATTTTTCTTTTTCTAAAGATTTAATAGTAGATATATATTATTTGTCTAATTATTCAGAATTAATTATATCGATTATACGTTAAAAATAAAAATATTAAATTTTATATCAAAATACATTAAAGCTAATATTGATAAAAAAAATTTTCTGCAGTCGTATAGTCGTCAACCCTCTGTTTTTCGGGCTGAGAATCCGTCTTTGGAAGCAATTTTAGGCTTCCTGAGGTGGACATTCTCCTTTTTGAGATAACATAACGTTTTTAATGCATTGTTACAGTAGCTAGAATAATATAGTGTGTCAATTGCTGCTATTTATCCATACTAAAGAGCTGGATAGAAAATGATGCACATGACATCATCTCAGAGGTGGCGCTGTTGTCGTGGCAACGCAAACGATGATCGCACACGGAGGATCATCGTTTGCGTTGAACACGTGGGAAAATGTAATAAGAGACGATCTTAAATTGGAACCGCGGCACGAAGTGTGTGAATTCCACTTTGAGAAACGTTTTATAATTCGAAGTTGGAAGCGTATTGATAATGGTGAAGAAGTTTTAATTGAATGGAAAGTACCAACTTTGAGTGGTGATCCTGTGCCGACGAAATTTACAGGTTATCCACAGAATTATAGCCGAGTAAAACTACCAGTAAAAAGGTTAGTTAGACAATTCTTAATATCTGCTGAATCTAAAACTAAAAAAAGGAAAATAGAAATCGTTAGAGGAGATTCAGATCTAGTGCTAGAGATATGTTTTATTCCTGTACTAAGCCCACTAGTGGCCAAATGGTCTTCGTTCTCTGAACACTGGATAGTTTGGTCAAGGCCACTTGATCGCTTCGCTAGTAAGGCCGTCCGCCAACTCTCTCTCTCTATGAGACCGAGCGTATAGACGCTAGTTAATATTTTCTCCGCTTGTGGCGCTGACGATCGGTGACATCCATCGTCAGCGATTCAGGTGGAGAGTATAGAGGAGTTTGGAGACGTCGCTGCATTTAAATATTTTTCTCATTAAAGCAGGTTGAAAACTTTTGACAATCAAGAAATGAGCTGCTGCAAACGATGTTCCCTAGTTTGTGAAAAAAGCGAAATAATAATAACAGTATTTTTCACTTTATTTTCATAAGACGTTTTTAGGAAGAAATAATAACTGAGTATTATTGGCATGGAAAATACAAACTTTTTCACATTAATACTATTTAATCATCTCTTTTCGATTCTTAAAGATACCAGTAGTTAATCGTTAATGTAAATTTTTTTTTTACTCGAAAAGTATGCAAAATTAGCAAAACTAGGTTACCTACAGTATGCACTGTCTACTATAAAAATTTTCACATTTTCGGACCATATATGATAATTATTAAAATGTTGTGTATTAAATCTGTTATAAAATTATTACTTTTGTTAATCAAGACTGTAAGAATAAATACCGATATAACCTTTCGAAAAAATTTGCTTATTTTTTTGCAAAAATAAGCAAAGTTTTTAGTTAGTAAAAAAATTTCGAAAAATATGCACGGAAATATGTGATATTGAAGTTACCTTCAATATCACCATATTTACGAACTTATTATAATTAATATTGGAGAAGTACACAGAAATGTGAACAAAAGCAACATATATTGTTTTAAAGTTGAAATTAAAAGTATAACTATGGTAAAAGTAACATTGCTTCAGTTTACATCTCTAATATAAATAAAATTCTTTATAGAAAAAGCAAAAGCTTATTACATAAGAAAAATTAATTTATTGAATAAAGTGTACACTGTTTTTGACTGAATTTTACAGTTTGTAAAATTCAGTCAAAGAACAGAAATGTACTTAGCTTCCTCCTCATCAAAAATTTACAATATGAATTAGACAACATTAGACTTTTAATATTTTTCTAGAAATGGGCTTATGATGCAGTCTGAGAACTTTTTCCACAGTTTGACTTAATTGTCCAGTCCAATTGGTCAGAAAAGGGCTAACAAACTTTGTTGCTATAATATTGCACATGCGATTATTGTGATTTGACTGTGCACCATCAGTGTTAGCCTTACACCACAGTACTGGGCAGTTTTTCAAGTATGGCAAAATGACCTTTACCAGCTTAACTTTCAAACCAGCCTGGCAAGGATTTGTGTATGTTAGTACGTCATCAAAAAAATCTGTAAGAATTCTAATTACCCCCACTAACGCTGGTCTCGGATACCGAAGCTGTCCTCTATCCTGGTTTGATATTAAGCCAAAAAGAGCTCCATTACTTGCAGGATGGTTGAGGATTTCAAGACACTCATAGCATGCAACCTTCTCTTCAAGAACTCTAATTAAATAGCCACTGATAACTGCCAGAGAAGCATTTTCAATTGTACAGGGAACACTGCAGTCTTGCGTGAGGGATTGCAATTTTTGTAAAATAGACAGTGAAGAATCATGCAATTTACAGACTTCATCTTCAACATTACAATTGGTTTCTGTCATAACAGGTAACAACTTTGAGGAAGAAGAAGAGCATGGTGCATTTCCATTCTGTGCAGCCTGTAAGATACCAACTTTTAAAATCATTTGCGTTGTAAGAGATGCTGATCGTGCATCTAATTTGTCATTTCCTCCATTAAACTGACGAATGCAGCTAAAGAATGACTCAATTGGATCACTGTTAAATCTCCTCGTCAAAACATATCTGAATTTGACGGTATTCAGCAAATACTTTACAACATCAACTGTGCTGAGTGTTGTCAGGTAGAGAGCATTGTAAGTTTCTTTTGTGAGAAATTGCATTTTCATATTACTGCATTCTTTTTTCATTGTTTCTATGTACAAAAGAAAATCTAACTGCAGCCAATTGAGCCGTTCATCATTAATTTCAGAAAATGGTCTTTTGTTTGGCAGCATGGAGAACAGATGTTCATTCCAGTTACTTATATCCTGTAGTTCATACCACTTGTTAATATTTTCCATGAGCATAACCGTTGCACCACAACCAGAAAAAAGAGAGGCTTCTTTGTGACAAAATGGGTTGTCTTTCAAAAAATTAAGCGTCCCAGTAACAACAGGTAAGAATATGTCTCTTGCTCTCTTTACTTTCATTTTTTCAAGATTAGTTGGAAATACATGTGCACGTGTTAGGAATCTGACTGGTTTAATTAGAATATTTTTCTGTATATCCAAAAGAATCTTCATATAGTAACCTCCATCAATACATTCATATCCATCTGTCATCTTTCTTTCCAATAATATGGATTGCAAATTTTTAATTATGTGATTTGGATCAAATGACAGAAAGAGGGGTCTAATGGTGTTACACGGATGAGGTATTTTATGTAAAAGTTCTCCATTTCCGAGAGCTTTGAACATGGCTGTATTTGTCTGATGATTATCAGCAACAATACGTATCACTGAAAAACCTAAGTTTTCCACCTCTGACAAAACATCGAGCATCATCCTTAGCAGTTCAGCACCTTTTAAACAGTATGTGAAAAAATACCCAACAGGTATTGCATAAGAAGATGAAAGTCCCCTGAGGAGAAAGCACAACATGCGATTGGCTGCTTTTTGAGGTTCACAAACCTCTCCATGTTCACCTGTTTCGACAAAACCAAATATTTTGTCTAACTGCTTATCATAAACTAGCTTCTGATCAATAGTCATTTCATCCATAATTAATGAAGCATAGCATTCTTCTGCAGATGTAAAATTCTCTTTTTCAGTACGTAACCTTTGCTTTATTAAAGGTGTGATGCCAATTGCACCTGAAGCTTGGCCTACATACTTTGCAAGAGTTGACTTACAAGGCAAACGAAGCAGCTTTCTAACACGAGCATGATCATAACCTTTTGGTGATTTAACTTTCCATAAAATACATTCACGAATTACATCATTACTCCATTTTGGGCAACGTTTATCAAAATTAAGAATCTGGTCAACAAGAAATATTGCTCCAGTGTTTCCAGTTTCAGTTAATGCTGCTATTTTTCCTACTGCTTGAATCAGATTATCTTCTTCGTAGGCCTTCAATTTTAGAGCATTTTTATCATGCTGTGCCTGTAAATCTGCCAATTTTGCATTTTTTCTCCAAAGTGTTGCTTTTAGTTTGTTAATAGTTTTCTTATATTCTGTAACAATTAGTTCCAGGTCATAATTAGTTTGACATGCAGCATTTACCATATTGCTCTTCCTTCCTTCCTCAAAATCAGTATAATTATAAACAGGCCCATCAATAACTCCAGTGTCTACAGTTGTGCTTTCAAGCTTGCTCTTTTTCTGTGGTGGATTTGTACGTACTTTTAAATTTCGTTGTAATGGTGTTCTCTTTGTTTTTTCTGTCTGAGGACGCTTATGTGGGGGATAGTTTGGAAACTGTGAGGGGCACGATGATGATCGTAAAACGCGCCTTTTAGATCCGATTTTATAGTCACTTTCTACAAAATGCAGGCTACAGACAACTGACCTGCTACTTGGTATCCACGGCGATCCTTTTTTATTACCTTGTCGTGATATAACATTTAACCACTTCTGTCTCAATTGTTCGTTTGATGGGATTTCATGAAATGTAACTTTTAATCCTTCAGGACAAGTTTTAGATCCAGCATACGATGTGCAAAAAGGCACGCAACAATTTTTAGGCATAATGTTCCTTTACTATTTAAACCACACAATGAATGTATTTATATCTATATACCAAGCTGCTGTTGAAGAGAAATCCCGTCAACCGTATATAACTCACGAATAAGTATAACTAAATACAACTATAACTATATGTAATTATCACAATTTCATAAAATAGCTATACTCGCACACAAAAGTACAAAACGACCAATTTACTCAACAGACGATTCTCACCGATAACTAGCGCCAAAATCTTTCGCAGCGGCAAAAAATGGAAACAGTGTGAATACGGCAATTTTCCTTACGGCGGACGGCCTTACTAGCGAAGCGATCAAGTGGCCTTGGTTTGGTTGTGGGTTCACGATGCGCCTGGACGGGCTGGCCACGTGGAGTTT